TTATAGCTAAATGGATGCACATTGAGGCGATACTCTTAAGTGAAATAAATAGGACACACATGTATAAATACCAAATAGTTTTTCTAGTGTGAGAAACTGAAAATGTAAATAAGAACTAAAAGGTATAATAGATAATGTGAAAAATGAAGAAAAGTTGCAAAGGGAAGGGGAAGTGGGTGTGGTAGGGGAAAAGAAAGAAGGGAATGGAATTAATATGAGAAAAAAAATGGAAACAAAATCTTTGTAGATAGGGAGGGTTGGAGGGTTGGAGGGGAGTGCAGGGGAATGGGAAAAAATAAGAACCAAAGTGGAATATGTTAAGGTGCAAATTTCCAATGATGAATGCCATTATATTGTATACCTTAAATGTACCAATAAAGTTAATTTAAAAAATAAATATGACACTAGTTTAATAAGGAACAAAAAGTATGATTGTAATATTCTGGCTTGTGAGATGACATACATGACATACATTTTCTGAATTTAAAAAAAAGTTATATAAAACAGGACCAGAGATTTAGCTCAATGGTTCCACTGCCTGCCTCACAAGCACACGGTCCTGAGTTCGATTCCTGGTACCAAAAGAAAACCCAAAAAGTCATATGAAACAACATTGACTGGGAAAAATGAGTACCTGACGTAAAAGTTTTTATTCCAATAAAGAGTGTTTCTTTTTGAACAATTAATAGGAAGTAAGAAACAATGCTGCCCTAAACAATAGCCCCATTGTCCTTGGTTAGGTAATTCAGGGTAGTGTTCTGCTTTCTTTAGGCTTCTAACAAGTACTACTTATCATCTTAGAAGATATGGGTCATTTACTAAAGTTATTTGAAATATTAAGATATATTACTTATAGATGAGCCCTTTGTTAATTTCTCCTGGAAAATTACCTTAACCTTCAGATAATTTAAATTGTGACTTTTCCTTTCAGAAAATATAAAGATATGTATATTTGTCTTTAGGTTTTACCTAGTAACTTCTCAGTTTTATGAAACCATTGGCTGAATGTATCATCTGGAAACCTAAACTCATGCATGAAAAAATAAATTACAACAAAAACCTGTTCTTAACTTGAGCATATTTTTAAATTTACAAACAAAATCTGAAAAATCTATTATTAGATATAAGGTGGTTCCTTGCATGTTAGTTTATTTTGCCTTCTATTAAGCACAAGTGAAGTGTAATTTGATATTTTCTTATTTAGGAAAAGTGAAATGATTATCTTGGATGATAATACCGGGATATTTCCTATTTTCCTCTGTGAATCTATTATATGTTCTCTGCTTTTGTTTAACCTACCTCAATCCTTCTGACATGGTTATTTTGGAGACACTGTAAGTTTAAACAATGAACTGATGCATGTTCTATCTTTGATGTATTTATTGATTTGATGTATTAATGGGGCAAAATTGAGCACAATTTTTCATTCTCTCCATATCTTATTTTCTTCATCTTAAAATGGTGATAATATTGAATAATATTTGCCTTTTACTACTTTATTGAAATACATTGACTATCAGAATGGTGATATAATGATTGACATAATGACTTAGTACCAGCTATAATAGCTATAAAAACACTTTGTGCCTAATCATAAAAATCTAATTCCTATAACAACAAACTTGGTGCAACAGTATACCAATAAAATAGGGAAATTTATCAAGTAGTCCTCAATTTAGCTTATTACATTTCATCACCTCTTTAACTTTTACTTTTCCCTGAAATGAATGAGTGAACAAATGAATCAAAGTAGAAATCTAAGTGTGATCTGCCTACTAAACTTCTATATGTATGCTAAGATGGAATACATATAAAAATGTAATATTTGGAAGGTGTCAGACAAGAAAATATCTTTCCTAACTTAAGAATACAAATAGTATTTGGAGTATTATAATCTCCTTTGAGTCTTTGTTAACAATGATTTAGATTATAACTAGAACAGGTGAAGTGACTACATGAATTTTTCAAATTAATTGCCATCTACTGAGAACCAATAGTTGCTTGGATACAGTATAATTTAACTAAACCAAAATTATCAAATAAAAGAATTGCCCATGTAAATTCAATTATGTGGGATTTTAATAGAATTTGTCTTCTTATATTGATGATAGCCAAATGAACGTCCAAGATACTTTAGATAAAGTTAAGCCCTGGAGCATTAATTACCAGAGACCGTTTGTCTCTATAATTTGGTATCCTGGGGTCACTGGAGTGTGAACAGTTATTTTTGATTTCCTATTTTTTTTTTCAAGAATGATTTTCTTGGACATTTTCTTGATTTGCTCCTCCTGTCTGCTGGTCACCTCATTAGAGAGGCACATTTGACTGTCCTGTATAAAATTTCCAGTGCTTTCTCATCCTCCTTAATTCCTTTATTTTCCTTTACTATTTTCCACAGCACTTATCACCATCAGACATATAGGTATTTGGTTATTTATTATTGTTCATTTTCAGGCAAGAATTGAGGCTCCTAGAGAACAGATCTATTCACATTTGCATCCCTGTTGCTGAACATAAAGTAAACATCCAACAAGTAATTGCTATATCAATGAATGAAATCAACTCCTGTTTTAAATTTTTTTTACTTTAAAGCCAGTATTTCAAAAAAGGCTTGAAGTTAAAGAAAGTCGACATTTTCTACTCTTCAGTATTTCAAGGAAAAATTGACCTTGTAGTATGGAGTAAAAAAATATATTCAGCAGAATCACAGATATGATAATGTCAAGAAAAACTGATAAATTAAAGTTAGCAATAGGAGTCTTGTTGTTCCAACTCAGGAGATCTGATGAGTAATGGTGACAAGACTCTCTGTGTCAGCCATAATAGCAGTGACACATGAATCCATCCTTCATGCCTTTTATTGTCTTCAGTTTACTTTTTTTCAGAAATGACAAACCTTATGCTCTTGTTTGAGATATATTTTTTACTGCTGCTTTCAGGCACATGCAAATAAAAGGAGGATGAAGGTGTTTTTCGAACACATCTTCCATGGTCGCTACATAGACTTTGACTACAGAGCTGGGCTGCAGATGTCACATTCATGACATAGGGACCCAATATTCCTGGAACAGATTGTTGCACAGATAAGCAAGTTTCCTGTAGGAAAAATAGAAATCTACTTAGAGCACACTCAAAATGTGATTCTGTTATCCAGGCAATATTAATCCCTGAAGTTGTATAATGGTAAGGTTAGGGAGGATTTTAGTAGGTTAATCATTTAAATGAGGATAAGGTTTGTGTGTGATAAACTATGCCTTAGACTCGAAAGACTGTGACTCAACCTGATTTCATATTCTGTCCAGGGAACAATGATGCTACATTTTCCCCTATAGACTATTCCCTAATAGATGTAGATATTTCTACTAACACTTTAAATATGATTTTAAATTTTTAATTTTACTTATAAAACATATTCAGTGCTGTAAAAAATATATGTTGACATTAGATTGGATTTTTCTAACACTGTCAAGTATTCTCTTCCTTACCTCTGCAGAGATAATAATGCATGCAAAGTAGGTGGCTAGTCTTCCCATTTATGTTTTATAACTTTACTGGATATATGTGTGTGTGCATGTTTATGATTTTAAACAATATGTAGTACTGTTTTGTGGTTTTGTGCATATTGTATGGGCTACATTTTTACTGCAAGTTGCTTTTTAAACACATATCCTTTAAAAATTTTAAATACTGATACATATTTTATATAACTCATATAAATATATTTTTCATTTTATAATATAAATGCACTATACTTTATCTTTCAGTCAGTCCATAGGAGGTAGAATATAAAAGATCATTATATAAAACCAAATGCCCAAGTCACTTGTACTGGGACCGAGGATCCAATGACTATAAGTAAGTATATCTTCCTTTAAATTGGCCATTGAGTATTGATATAGCCACATTGTGGGATTCAACAGTAAGGTACATTTCTCCTTATTGATGGTCACACTGTGCTACTTGCAAGGACAGGGCTAATTGAAGTAATATCATTAGCTGACCCATAAGAGTCTAGCAGGAATCATGATATATATTGGCCTTGATCCATATAAAAGGACCATGATGGAAACCGAGTAGATCCATTAATAAGTTAAGTTTTCCATTAGGATTTCTATCATTCTATCAACAATAATACTACTTCATAATTAAAAGCCAGTTAATTCAGAACTATGGGTTATTTTCTTAATGAGAGGAAATAAGGCCCCAGGCCTATGAATCCACCTATGAAAAGTCTGGGAAATTCAAATGGAAAATCATAAGATAGGATAAATCTCATAATGTCAAATAATTGAACAAGGCAGCACTTTGGATAATAGCAAGTTCTGCAAATCCTGTGAGCAATATCATTTGTTCCAAACACATTCATTCGCCAGCCTTAAACCATATTTAGGAACACATGCTGATTTCTAGTCAGGACAAGACTTCTTGTTTGAAGAATCTGAGGATGTTTTTGAGAAAGAAATATAGACTAAAATGAAATAATCAAATAATGGAAATAAAGGAATTGGAAAAGGGAGCAAAAGAGGGGAAGGAAGGAGGAAAGAAAGAAAGAAGAAAGAAAGAAAGAAAGAAAGAAAGAAAGAAAGAAAGAAAGAGAGAGAGAAAGAAAGAGAGAAAGAAAGAAAGAGAAAGAAAAAGAGATTGGGAAAATAGTAATTAATAGAAATAAGAACACGGGCAAATACAATCACGTTCAACTTGGGCATCCTCTGTTCTATCCCAGGTCTACCTCTTGAACACTTTCTTCACTTAGCTTCAAGAATATCTTCACTATATACCAACTCCCTCTCTCAAGTGCCCCAGGAACAAAACTCTGGAGTCATTCTTTACTCTTTTCTCCTCTCAGATTTAATACATCAGAAAGTTCTTCTCAGTCTGTCTACAAACTATATTCAGAATTCAGCCCTTGCCACTACTCTGGTTAATGTGCTACTTACTATTCTGGGTAAGATCATGACCAGCTCTGACCTGGATTGTTCCAATAGCTTCTCAACTAGTCTCCCACAATCTTTTCTAAATCTGGATATCTATATATATAAATATATAATAACAATAATATATATCCTAGTTTTGTACAGTTTTTTTTGGTACTTTGGTACTCAGGGCCTCACACTTGCCAGGCAGGTGCTTCACCATACCCCAGCCCAAATACAGATTAAAATACTCTCCCAAGTAATAATTTGATCAAAGAAAAAATTCAAGTATAATTTTAAACAAATTACAAAAATTATAATACTAAGCATTAAAACTTATGGACACAGCCAAAGTAATTAGTGACATTAAATGTTTAGTCATGCATAACTTTCTTAACCAGGAAATTCAATCATTAGAGAAGAAACATTCAGAAACATGGCATTCTGGCATGGCCTTTCACTTGGACTCCCACTCAGCTATCAGTAAGGTTCATTGCTTGTGGATGGAGTAGTAAGATGTGGTGTTCCTACTTATGCTTTCCTCTGTGCTTCCTACTGCTCCAATTCTCTGTATCTTCTGTCACTTTTCTTTTCCTGGAAGCTCTGTCTTAGTTGCTACCTGCTTCGGTGAAGAGCACTGGCTACCAATTTCCTAGAGTTTAACAAGTCATATTTCATCCATTATGTCAAACACTCCTGAACTCCAGTGTATCTATCCACTTTTAACTTCTAATGATGAACCTTTATCCAAAAGAATTGCCTGATCTGTTCATTTATTTTCTCTAAAATCATTTATTCAGCACTTCCATGATAAAAACTCTCAACACACTAGGTAAAAAGAAAAAGTGTCTCAGCATCCTGAAGGCCACATATAACAATCCCATAGCTAACATCCATGTTAATGGTGAAAAGCTGAACTCTTTTTAAGACCAAGAACAAGACAAGGATGTTTGTTTCTATCAACATGGAACTAGAAGTCCTAGCCAAAGCAATTAAACAAGAAAAAAAGACAAAATGAATTGAAATTGAAGAAAATAAAGTAAAATTATTCCTGTTTGTAGATGACACAGTCCTATATGTAAAAAACCATAAAGACTTCACTAATACATAGTCACAAAGTCAGAAATAATAAATTCAGTATAGTTTTGGTATACAAAATCACCATTCAGAAATCAGCTGAGTTTCTAAACACTAATATTGAACTATTCAAAAAGGCAATTGAGAAAATTTGAGAATAATACCAGCAAAAAGAATAAAATAAGCCAACTAGTATTGCATGTCTGTAATCCCAACAGACTGGGTGGGTGAGGCCGGTGGATTGCACAGTTGAGGCCAACCCGGGCTAGTTACATTGCGAGTTCAAGGTCATCTTAGAAGATAATAAGAACCTGACTCCAAACAAACAAATAAACAAACAAACAGAAAAGAATAAAATACATAGTAATACATTTATCCAAGAAGACAAAATATTTGTACACTGAATATAAATGGAAAGGTAGGTAATTTTCATGGATTAGAAGATGGTATTGTTAAAAATGTGTATGCTATCTGAAGCAATCTGTAGATTCAATGCCGTCTTCATTATCCTGACTGTATTTTTTTTACAGAATTAGAACAAAAATAATACTAAAATCCATATAAAACCACAAGGCCCAGAATAGCTAAAATAATCTTCAGAAAGAATACAGCTGGGGGTCTCATATTTCCTGATTCAAATTATTTTTAAAAGTCTATGATACTGCAATAAAGAAGAAATATAGATGAAAGGAACAAAAAAGTTCAAAAATAAGCCCACATATATATGGTCAACTGATTTTTAATAAGGTGTCAAAAATACTTGATAGGGAAAGGACAAACCCTCAAGGAAAGTAATCCAAATGAAATTAGACCTCCTACAACACGCACAAAAAGTCAACTCAAAATGGATTAAAGATTTAAGCATATAAGCCACAAATTATAAAACTCCTAGATAAACAAAAATAGGTTTAAATATTCTAGATATCAATCTTGGCAAGTACTTTTTAAAAATACAACACAAAAGCACAGGTAACAAAAGCAGAAATGAACAAGTGGCATTATATCAAATTAAAATGCTTCTTCACAGAAAAGGAAAAATAATGGAAACAGTAAAAGCAAAGCCTTAGAATAATAGAAAATATTTGTAAAGAAAATATCTGATAAGGGATTAATTTTTTAAATGTATTAGGACTATTACAGTAAATCAATTGAAAAAAGCAAACAAAAACAGATATAAAAATAATTCAATAAAAATAAGCTAAGGACTTGAACAAACATTTCCCCAGAGAAGACCTATAAATAGCCAACAGATTCACAAAAAGGTATTTACCATCATTAATTATCAGGGAAATGTAAACCAGAACTACAACGTAATTTCACTCACACCAGTTAGGATGGTTAATATTTTTAAAAAGCTAAAGTTAATAAGTGTTCTTAACATTGTAGAAAATCTGCTGTATGGCATAGTTGAATATACAGGAATATTTTTCTCCCACATGTATTTCTCTTATAAGTAATGGATAAAATAAAGAATAATTTTTTAAAAACCTATCCTTCTTAATGTGGATGGAATATTTTAAAAATTGTGTATTCTTTTTTCTTTGCCACATAAATCATGATTTTTATCTACTAAAATTATTGTATATAGGTTTAATTCTAGTATAATTTTTAAATAAAGAAGCTGAGGGTCAAGTGAATTAACATGCCCAAAATACACCCTTAGGATATAATAATCAGTTTCTCACTTTGGGCTACCTGATTGAAGATTCTTCTTTTTCCAAACTTCTTCTAATCACCGTGGCTGATACAAAGTAGGTGCTAAATATTGTTAATCCATATACCTTCTTAACTTCATGGGTAAAGAAAATGTGGTACATATTTACACACTATGGAGTAATATTTTGCAATAAAGAGTGATAAACCTGAGTTATTTCTAGGAAAATGGATGCACCTTGAGACCATAATGTTAGGTAACATAAATCACATGCATACTTAAATACCACATGCTGTCTCATATGAGAAACTCAAATTATAAATAAAGAACAAAATGTAAGATAGAAAGTAGGGAGACAGATTTTTCTCATATGTGAAGAAATCAAGACATGGAGGGAGGAGGAGGGAGAGGAAGGAAAAAAGATGAAAGAAGAAATTAAGATGTGTTATGTGCATGTACCAATTGCACACAAGGAATGTAAATATCAGGTACTGCAAACATAAAAAAATAAAGTCAAGAGAGCAGAAAATCAGCAATTGTTTGACCCTGATGTGAATCGTTTTAAAAGTCACTCTCTAAAAAATACTCAAGATGCTGATGGAAATAATTGCTTACCTTTGATGAAGTATATTCATATCCTCCCCACAATATTATTCCTGCTGCCCCTAATGCAGCACTTTCATCAATTGTATGTACTAAGTCCTCCTAGAAAAGAGAAGCACCAGGAGCAGTTTATGCTAAACAAAATTTAGCTATTGATAATTCAATAAGACTCAACCCCTTCAACTGTGGTTAAGAACACAATAATTTTAGCCTTGTTTCTAAAGAAAAAGACCAGGGGACTTGGAAAAGGCTACACTGCCTTACTTACTATATTTCAGACAACATTCTAGACACTGAGGATATAAAAATGAAAAATATTTCAATTCCCATTCCAGTGGTAATTCTTTAAAATGATGCCTGAAACAGACATTAAAAACAAGTGAGTATGACATAATAAACTGTTATCTATATTAGTAGCACCCACAAATCATATGAAGATTTGAAGAAATGTTTAATTCTACATGAAAGAGTTTGGGAAGTGTTCCTTGAACATGTGAAATTTCAAAAGGATCTTTGAGAATGAGTTTCATTTCCAGAAGGAAGACCAAGAGCAGGGGCCCATAGGAAGGCAAGAACATGGTCCATGCAGAGAACAGTCAGTTACTTATTGTGGTAAAGCACATGGGGTTGGGGGGGAGAAGTGAAAGTACATAAGTCCTTGTTTATAAGCAGAATCCAAATACAATTCAGCATTTAGAAGATATAAATTTGCAACTTTAAAAGCCACTTTTGGTGGTTGTATAATCCATGCATTGTAAAGAAAGGCCAAGATGGTATAGTCAGGGGCACCAGCTGGGAGATGATAGAAACTGTGCAATAAGAAATGCAGACTGGTGCAACCACTATGGAAATCAGTGTGGAGATTCCTCAAAGAACTAGGGCTGGAGGTCCCATTTGACCCAGCTATTTCCCTGCTGGGTATTTTCCCAAAAGAATTAAAAGAATCATACCACAGAGATATATGTGTGCCCATGTTTATTGTGGCACAAGTTTGTAATAGCTAAAGCTTGGAAACAGCCCAAGTGCCCATCAACTGGAAACTGGATAAAGAAGATGTGGGGTTTTTTTTGTAAAATGGAGTACTACTCAGCCATAAAGAATGAGGAACTGGAGTCATTTATAGCTAAATGGATGCATATTGAGGCCATACTCAAAAGAAAAAAAAAAAACACACATGTGTAAATACCGAATAGTTTCTCTGGTGTGAGAAACTGAGAGTGTAAATAAGGACTAAAAGGTTTAATAACTAATAATTGATACTTTGAAATAGGAAAAGGTCCAAAGGGGTAGAGGTGGTGGGAGGGGAAGGAGAAAGGAAAGAATGGAAAGGAAAAATTATGAGAGAAGAAAAAAATGAAAACAAAGTATGTAAATAGGGAAGGGTTTAGGAATGAAGGGCACACAAGTAATGGGGAAAAAATGAGAACCAAGATACATCATGTACAGGTACAAGCACCCAAAGATAAATGTAAATGCATTGTATATCTAAAATGTACCAATAAAAGAATTTAAGGAACAAAAAGGAATGATAAGGCCCCACAAAAGGCAATGTCAGTTTTACAAAGAGCGGACAAAATAGAGAGATTTGGAAATTGAGCTGGATAATTCTTAATTACCTAAGAAATAATGAAAAGGAGATAAAGGAGACATCCAGGTGACTCTCCTGTTGAACAACAAAGTAGATTAGACACTAAAGAGGTTATAATCTGCATTCTTTCCTCCCCTAAGCAGTGTTAGAAATTCAGTGCAAAAGTGAAGGGTTCAAAGACTGGAATGAGTAAATGGCAATGCCATCACAAAGTTTTCCTACTTTAGAGAAAATTCTAGTACCAATGGTTGAGTAGCCCTATCTGAAATCCATGGGATCAAATGTGTTCAGAATTTCATATTTTTTTCAGACTGAAATATCTGCATATATATAGTGAGGTGCTGTGAGGATGAGACCTCTATTTATGTGACCTCACTTTACCAATCCTGGGACAAAAATATCTGACATCCACAATTTAAAAAAGAGAGGTTTATTTTGGCTCGCCGTTTAAGCCCATGGTTGGCTGGGTCCAAGGCAGAAACAGGATGGCAGAGGGGCATGGCACAGGAAAAAGTGCTCAACCCATGGCACCCAGGAAGCCAAGAGGGAGAGGGAAAGAGCTGGGGATAAGAATACACCCTTCCAGGTCACACCCACAATGACCCAACTACAACAAGCCCCACCTCCTAAAAGAATATTCAGGTTCTGAACTCTCATCAGTGAGTGAATATGCTGATGAGTATTGCCCCAATAATCCAATCATCTTTTGAACACATGAAACTTTTGGAAAATATTTTAAATATAAATCATAAGAAGATTCAAGTATAAATATAAAATTTATTTCTATCTCATATAAACCTTATATGTATGCATATAAGGCTGAAGATAACTTTGTCCAATATTTTTAATGCACCTGTATTTTAACTGCAACTTGCACTCAGGTGTGGGACTTTCAACTTGTGCCATCATGTCAGTGCTCAAAAATTTTCAGATTTGGGGGATATTAGATTTTGTATTTTCCAATTGAGGATGCTAAGCTATACTATTACTCGTGTTCTACAATTTGTCTAACACAAGAAAAATGGAAATTATTCTTTCATTGTACTAACTAGTACTGTATGATATTCCTTAAATGTAAATTAAATCTCATATTTAACTTGAGACACTTCTGAAAGAAAAGACCAGGAGAGTTGAATATTTTAAATGCATTGAAATTTTACATTAGACAATTAGTCTTAGACAATTAGTGAGAAAAAAATCAATGTTTGTAGATTTATAAACAGTGAAAGGATATAGAAATTCATGAAAATATTTTAATGCAATGCTCAAGTAATTCTATATTTTTAATGAGTATGTTGTCTATTGCTTTATGAAGTAGAATTCAAAGATGATAACTCATAATCTACTTCAAAAATGTAGTAGTACAAAGAATGGTAAAGCTATTAAGGCATTCATGAAAATGTGGCCATTTTCTATCAATGTAAACTATCTGACTAGATGAATCATTATTATTTTCTACTGTTAGCATTAACATTTCTAATACATTGTAGGCATTCAATAAATAATTTTGAATGAAGAAATACACCCTAGTCTTTTTCCCAAAAGCACTTGAAAAATGACATGATTTGAGAGATCATTCACTTGAAGAATACCTTAGTGAGAAATCTGTGGAAGGCATGACTAATGTCTTAGATTATTCAGAGAACTGGTTTTTCAAAGGAGGTTTTAATTTATTCTATGATGCACCAGAAGGTAGAATTAGAACTAGTGGTATGAAATTATTCAGAGGCAAAGTAGACTCAACATGCTTAAAAACTTCCTAGAAAATAGTACTGTCCAAAAATGTAATTTTTCTTCTGATACCAAAAATGTCTCATGAAAAAGTGCTAAAAGAGAGGGCAGATTAAAGAGGATTCATACATGAGTTGACATTAGATTGGATACTGCTAAGATTTCTTTAATAATTGCTGCGATGTTATCATTCTTTTTCTCCTAAGCTTATTGGATAAATACTTCATTATTTAGCAATTTTCCGAAGATTAAAAACAATCTATTCAATAATATTCAGGCCAATAGATTTCATTCTGAAATCATTTAGGAAGAATTACTATTGCTTTGAAATGCCCTTATCTGAAACATAAGTGGTCTAAGAAAGTGAACTGTGGGTTGTCTATCCAACATCCCCATTTCTGGTGTGAGTAGAGCAATAACAGAATTGTTGGCACAAGTATGAATGGAAATTCAAAGGTTTTCTTATGTAGCCATCCATCTAATGATTGCATCCTTTCCATAACGTAACAATATAGCTAAAGCGTGAGCACTTCCTGAGTCTGTGAACTCGTTATCTTCCAAACAAGTTCAACTCCACATATCTCTTTGCCTCCTGCTTTGTGCCCAGTCTGAAGACAGGATCTATGTATATAAACCACATTTTTTTTGTTTCTTTCTTTTTTTTTTTTTTTTGGTGCCAGGGATTGAACTCAGGATCCTGCGCTTGCAAGGCAGGTGGTGGAACCACTGAGGTAAATCCCCAGCTCCTATAAACCACTTTTAATCCCTGGACACTACTAGATCATATTGTAGGCTCTTTAAGAAATAATCAGTAGAGTCCGTGCTATTTTTTTAGGTAACATAATAAATTAAAACAGAAAAATGCAATAAAAGGAAAAACATACTTGCTTAATAATTTATTGTAAGCTCCATTTTACATGTCTGAATTGGAAAATTAGTGCCATGCTTTCATATCAAGAAATCTCTCCCTGGTTAAAATTAATCAATTGATTACATTATTTGACTCCAGGTTAACAATTCTTCTGCAGGAAATCCATGAGTTCTGAGTTGGTAAAAATCATCAACCAGGGCCGGGATTTAGCTCAGTGGTTTCGCCGCCTGCTGCGCAAGTGCAAGGACCTGAGTTTGATCCCGGTACCAAAAAAAAAAAATCATCAACCAAAGTGTCTAAGTACCCATCTAATTGCCAGTAAGATTGTTTCAGAATTAGATTGATATTTGAATACATACCTTTCATAATAGAATACTATTCTATTATATTAATGTAATGATATTATATAATTACTATATTATATTAATTATATTAATAGCATTCTTTTACTAAGGGGAAATAGGTTTTGTAAGACATTTCTTTCTAGACTTTTTATATCTTTCTACTAAATATTTATTTTTTTAAATGTGAGTGACTTACCTCTGACAAAGTTTCAACACTATTCAAATAAAATGGCCTGGAAAAAACAAAAACTGGTAAAACATAGTCAGGTCTAGCCATTTCAGCAATTCTCATGGCTTCTCGAACTTGATAATGAACAAATTTCAATGCATTTAAACTCGACTTCAATATTTTTTCCAAATATATTGAAAGATAAAGTGCTGTGCTTTTTTTCCACAGCCATAAGAGTTGATCATTGAGGAAAACGTCTTCATTTAGGCAATTACCTGTGTAAAACACCTGATTTATTCTGTAATCATAATTATAGCAATCTGGATAGAGATAAAAGCCCCATAAGTATTTTGGTCTCATTTCTAAAGCCAGAGTGAGAGTGACATTCATGAAATTCCTTCCAGCATTTTCAAATTCGAGTTGGGGAACTGTTTTCAGTTTTGTTTCTGACCAGTCAGGATGGTGGTATCTTGTGGAGACTAAGGAGTGGTTTTTATATATTATTCTGCTCCCCCAGTTTCTAACCCATTGGAGTTTCCAACTTTCCCAGGCAATAACAAGTCCTTCCGATTGCCACCAAGGGAGAGTTCTTGCAATATCAGCAGTAGTTTTCCTAAGGTGAGCAGAAAGGTTTATACTCTGTGGTATTCCACCATTGAATGCTTTTCCATCTTGAGAGAAATAAGGGTAATAGTCCAATTCATTTGGATAAAAGATGCCAATCGATGATCCACTCTGAGTCTCTAAAGGATTTGTCATAATGTTAAATACTTGAAGATTCATGTCTACTTTGAAGGATTTCTTACAGTACATTGTCGGGGCAGCCCAGAAAATGTGGAAAGGCTGGTTCTTGATTATCAGAGGCACTGCTGGCTTGAGGACTGACTGAGTGACTGTGACAAAGAGCAGCAGCACTTCTAACCATGCTACCCATGGGCCACACATGATACACTCAGCATCACAGCAGTCTCCTAAAAGTAAGCAGAAAAATACTATAGATGATGGAGTCAAATATCTGTTTAGATTTATGCTACAAAATGAATAAACTACATATTCCAAAGGATTTATGATGCCTTATTAATATAGTTTCATCTGAATGTAGGAAAAGATGAACTTTTTTCTTTAAAATGTGAAAAAAGAAGTATCAAGTGAATAACAACTGTAAAGTTTTAATTAAAAAAATCTTCAGGTATGCAAACTCTACCTACTGTTTGTTCTGAATTTAATTTTCTGTAACACTGAGTGTATAAGCCAAGCCATTGTGTACTGGTAAGACTTTGACTGCAAGAAGAACTAAAAAAGAAACACTGAATAGACTGCTGTCTCCCCTCATGGAAAAGTGAGTCCAAGAACATGCCCAGTTGGGAATTAACATATATGGACATTTAGCAGACATTAAATACAACAAAAGAAATAACAAACTATACTAACAATAAGAAATAATTTATACACAATTTGAAATGTATTGGACTCATATGCTTGTTCACTTTCAGAGCAGTTACCCTTGTAACTACCATGGCCTTAAACAGAAAACAGAGTTGTCAATTACCTGTTGCTGATTATGGATTGGGTCCTATCGTCTTCTGTTAGTCACATAAACACACTTAAAAACCTATTATTCTTGATCTCCATTGTTGTTCCATTAAGAAATTGGACTGTATTTTCAGCAATTAAATTCCAAATGAAACTTGGCTGTTTAGTCCCCTCCAACTAGTCAGTTGGTACAAAAATCGCCAAAGAATCTTCCCAGCATATGAAGACCATCTAATACTTGAGGTGTTCCAGCCAAAGATCTCACTCTGAAAGCAATATGGTTAAAGTTACATATCAAAGTTATTTATCATGTATTCTACTTTTTTAAAAAAAAAAGTAGTCACAGATTTTTCTCTCCTACAGTTAAATTTACTATCTTTTTAAGAGTCAAATATTATTTCTTATGTACTTCTTGCTGTTTTTATTCAGTATGTTAAATACAGGAAAATATATGAACCAAAATCACATACAAACTCTCACAATATAATGCCCTAAGTTTGTAAAGAAATTCAACTCTTTGTATATTGACTTATTAAATCAACACATGTGAATGATAATTTATTTTGAATAAGTTGGATTTTATTAAGACAATTGACTTTACATGGAACTTGTATTATGGGAACTGGGAACTAGATGAATTTCTAAATCATCAGAGATGCTTCTACTTCCTTATTCTTCCCCAGGAAAAGAGCAAAATTTGGTCTTCATCCTTGTTATTCATTGGAATGTAAAAGTGCTCACTCACCATAAATACAATTCTTTATTTCCTTTTGGTCATTGCTGCATGTATTGGGCATACATGCCTAATAAACTGTGACACCCTTAAAAAGAAACATTTGTTAAGTGTTATATCACACTAAACATTTTAGAGATAAAGATGCTAAAAATACAAAATATGTGCTTCAGCATAATCCAGTTTTAAGTTGGAGATTTATTCATGTTTTCTGAATGTATAAATGACAAGCAAACTATCTTTGTCACTAGCCTAAGGAAATTTTATTATGTTAGTATTATCTTGGCTCTCAGTATTAATTTTATAACAAACTTGTACTATAGTAAAAATTATGCCTTAAGAATATCATATGAGGTTTTTTGGGGGTTTTTTTGGTACCGGGGATCGAACTCAGGTCCTTATGCTTGTGCAGCAGGCAGCGAAACCGCTGAGCTAAATCCCTGGCCCCAATCATATGAGTTTTAAAATATAATGAATTATTTCCACAAGATGATTACTGATATTTCATTCTTTGTTCTAGCCCATTTTTTTTTTACTGAAAGTAGAAAACTTGATCTAAATTTTCTCATTTATAACGTGTGCATACATCACATAGACACTTGAAGTTTTGATTTCCTGGTATGTTTCAGGCAGTGAATCAAGTCAAGGGCTGCCAAGGTAAAAATTAACACTATTTCTCAATTGCAAAAAGTTATATATTCTTAAATGTAAAATACAAACATAAAATGTCTATAAGTTAACATAGGAGAAAAGACTGGATTACCCTGGACATAGAGATGCCTTTTTAGATTGAATATGAAAAGCATGATCCATGAAAGAAATTTTTTGCTCTTCAAAATTTTTTTCTTTTCAAGCCACACGAGAAGAAAATATTTTCAAAAGTCATAGCTGGTAAATAAATGCTATCTAAAATTTACAAATTTAAAACCTAACAATAGGAAAATAAACTATCAGATTTTAAAATGCATAAAAGCCTTGGTAAATAAGCATAGAAAAGATATTTAACATCACATGTCATTAGGGAATTGCAAAGTACAACAGCAATGAAATGTCATTACATGACTATTAGAATGACACAAATTCATAACAATGCCAGTACCAAATGCTGATGAGGAGCAACAAGAAAACTAATTCATTGTTGATGGGGTTACAAAATGATACAGCCATTCTACAAGACAATTTGGTACTTTCTTGCAAAATTAAATATACTCTTAACAGGACATAATAATCATCCTCACTGGCATTTACCTAAGTGACTCGGAAATTTATATCCCCACAAAAACCTGCAATGAATGTTCTTAGTACTTTTATTCATAACTGCCAAAACAGGGAAACAACTACAATATCCTTCAGTAGGAAAACGTATAAATCATAGTATATATGGACAATGGAACATTGTTCAGTGTTGAAATGAAATGAACTATGATGGCATAAAAAGGCAGAGAACACTCCATATTACTGAGTGAATTAAGAAAGCATATTACTAAATGAAAGAAACCAATCTACATAATGTGAAGTAGGAAGAAAAGGTCCAAAGGGGAAGGGGAACTGGGAGGGGTAGGGGAAAGGAAAGAAGGGAAAGGAATAAATATGAGAAAAGGAAAAAATGGAAACAAAGTCTTGGTAAATAAGGAGGGGAGGAGGGGTTGAAGGGAGGGCAGGGGAATGAGGGAAAAATAAGAACCAAGATATATTATGTGAAGGTGCAAATTCCCAAGGATGAATGTCATCATATTGTGTACCTAAAATATACCAATAAAATTAATGAACTTAAAAAAGAAAAAACAAAACAAAGCAAAAGAAACCAATCTACAAAGGTTATATATTGCCTAATTCCAACTATATGACATTTTGAGAAAGACAAAAATATGGAAACAGTAAAATCAGTGGTTTCTAAATGTTTCAGGGAGGAGTGAGTAAGCCAAACATATAGGATTTTGGATGCAGTTAAACTACTGTATATAATACTGGTGAATGCATGTTGTCACACATTTGTCAAAACCTATTAAAAAACATAAGAGCAAGTGTGTGCCCTACAGAAAACTATAGACATCAAAGATAGTGACATGTCAATGTAGGCTCATCAATTGTGACAAATAGTGAAGGAAGCCCTGTATATAGAAAGGAATGGATTATATGAGATCTCTGTACTTTCTGCTCAATTTTGCAGTAAACATTAAAAGTACTCTAAAAAGTAATACCTGTTTAAATGAGGAAAAATTATAAAACTACATTCACTGAAGCCATATTTGTATTACAGAAAAGCTGGAAACAGCATATACGTGGTCATCAAGGATTCTGTTAAATACATTGTGAACTATACTATGGTAATTACATAATGAAATGACAAGCTATGACAATTTAGATTACTTAAGTCTATCAAAAATATGCAATAAATTATCCGGAAAGGATGCCTAGATGGAATATCTTCTGATTTCCTCCTTTCAGTTCTGACTTCCTGCTTTACAACTATACTCCACATTTCACAAAGTTAATAACTATAATAATTTAATTCTTTCTATGCTGCCTTTCTATAAAGGCATAAAAATAAGAAAGGAAAAAATAAAACTTCCATTTTCAGGCAATATTATCACTTAGAAAACTCAAAAGAATCTACAAATTATTTAAACAATAGGAGAGTTTAACAGGTATGTGGTCATTAGATTAACATATAAAAATCAAAATATTTTAGTCACCAGTATAAGTAAAAAGATGATTCAAAATTTGTACAACACCTCTATAGAGGCAAGTTATTAATCTTTATTGAGATATGTTTAAGGAGAACAAAATAAATAGGCTTCTGACTTCTTAACTTTTGCCATTTCAACATAGCATTGCTTCTAAACATCTGGAGAAGGAAGGCTAGAGATTAAAAAGGTACTTGACTGAGATCCTCCTTAGAATATGCTGGCCCTTATCTCTAGAAGTGAGAATATATTGCATTTATAATCTGTGAAATTACTGTGCTTAAGAAAAACAAATTTAGAATACTCAGTAAGACTTCAATGATTTAAAAAAGAGAAATAATGTCTTTTTAGAGTCAAGATTTACAGAGATCCTAATACTGGGGCTTCAACTTAGTTTAGTAAACATTGACAGAGTTTACCACATTTGTGGCATTGTGTTTAATGCTAAAGATGCACAAAAACATTTACCTCCAAGAAGATCAAACTCTAATGTGTGTGTGTGTGTGTGTGTGTGTGAGAGAGAGAGAGAGAGAGAGATGTGCATGTATAGGCACATGGGATGTATGTGTGTGCATGGAATAAGGATAGAGAGGCAGGAGAAATATACATCCTATTTAAGATTCCTGGAGGAATAGAATTAGTGCTAATTTTTTCTTTTAAAAAATTAGCAGACATATTATAAAGTTAATTAATGACTATTGCATTAAATACACAAAAAGTACAAAGTTAATATTAGTGATAGTCTTTTTACTCAAAAAATACCATTTTTCTGTGTACCTTTATGAACATTTCTGTATGTCCAACTCGAAGATTTTATGGCTCACATGAGAGACTCTGAGATTAGAGGGAAGTATCAAGCTGTCTGGACACCCAGGCTCTCTGTGAATTCCCTGTAAAGCAGCCCCTAAACATCAGAGAATGTTTAGAACACTGAGCAGAAATATGAACACATCTTATGATCTGCATGGAGCCCAAAATGGTGAGAGAAATAG